GTATCTTATGTGTAAGCGCCAATCAATTATTATTATTCATCAAACGCGTGGTTACTTATTCATGGCGTAAGAAAAACATTTAGGGAGTTTTTTCTCGCACTGCATTTTTACGGCGACAGTCGAAATTTCCTTATTTCCTGGAGCCATTAGGACTACACCGATCATAGTTGCCAACTTAGTGCTTTAAGCACTAGATTTAGTGCTTTTTGAAAATTAAAACGCCAAAAAAATGGTTTAGTGCCTAGTGCCCTTTTTAGTGCTTTTTTCTGATCTATAATTTCTGAATTTACAAGAATCTACAAATTTAAATGCACTAAAATGCAAACCATGATTGATAAAAGATGAAGTTGCAAACCCACGTTCTTGCATTCTTGTTTAATTGTATTCGCGTTGAAAATGCTAGCACGCAGGTAAGTTAAGTATTTACTTTTTTTATTTTCTTGATTGTTGATTATTACACAGTTCGAAAAATTTTAACTTTTTTTGCCACCTGAGTGCATCGGTTTTTGTAGATTCTTCGGTGTTGAATACAAATCTAGCTGCAGAATTTCTATACCAAGTCAGACTTTTGAGATATCCTAGCCTCTAAGTGTAAAAACACGGTTTTTCGCAAAATTTGAGGTTATATTATAAAACAACAAATCTTTTCGCACATTTCTACTTAGGGTATCATTAAGTATTACTCTTCCCCTTTAAAACTCAATTTCGTTTGTTGCGATTCGATTGTTCCTTCTCCAGATGTACCAGTTTTAATGTGCAGTACTTCGGTATTACTTCGCAAGCATGAATGTGTATTTATTTATACATTTAAATATTGTTTATTTTCTTACTTTTGTTTACCACAAACTGTTATAAAAAGAGTATCCTTTGGTTAAAAAAAAAATTTTGTGCTTTTAGTGCGGTAAAACGCTCTTTTTCCAAGATTTGGTGCTTTTTGAAACTGAAAGGATGGCAACACTGACACCGACGATGGCACCTCACACCATTTCGCACATGCCACCGATAGATCTTGTAGCTAAAATTATGTATATCGTTTACAACTGCCATGGAGCCTTATACTTTTAATCATGGTACATATATTGGCTACATGATTCCTCGCTGTTGTTTCTAACAGTCTCCTAATGTTAAAATAGAGGACGATGGTTGAAGCAAAGGTGCAGAAATAGTTTTAAAGTTGGTTCAAAAATAGAGAGCTAGGTTCGAGCAGCCGTATATTGGGCGTAACTTGAGATCTGTAGGTCTTTCAAGTTTCTTTAAGACTGAAATTTTTTCAGGTAGAAACTTCTTGGACCATGTGAATTATGAAAGGTATTTGGGCTCGGGGCTTAATGCTTATAAACTAACGAACAAGAAGTGCAGGAAATGTAAATCCGAGGGAGAAAAAAAAGCAGTGTTGCCAGAACTTTTTGGACCAACCGGCTAAATTGGCAAAATAAACGGCTAAAAACGACTAAACCGTTTCAACTAAATTTCACATGTTTTATTTAAATAAATCACAAGTAGAAAGACTAGTTCTTGGAGAGAAGTTGCAAATTCAAGCTGGAAAAAATGTTGCCGGCAAGAATTTGCAATTAGGAAAAACATATGATTGTAGCACATGGTTGGATTTTCTAGCGACGATAATTTTAGTAAACAAGTTCGTTAAATTTAAAAATTTACAAACTTGAGCGATTTTAAAATGAAAAATGTAAGTAAATACTTGTTTACTTATTTTATTTAGATAATTGCAATGATTTGAAAGGTACTCGGCTGAAAAACACTGTATTCGTAATCAGAATGCAATCTCAACCAGAGTCGATATATGGAACCCGACAGTTACTACGACAAAGAAATTGAAAAGTATATTGAAGAATGTGGGAATAATAAGAAATATATATGTAGATCTTGTTTTTTGCCCCTCTGAAAGAATTTTAAAAATTCTATACAAATTTCTTATGTTTGAACTGCTACCGTGGACACTAGCTGGCAGGGAAACTTGCAAATTCCTGCAAATTTGCGTTCGGGCAGAAATTTGCGAGTTTCTCTACTTGAGAGAGAATTTGGGAGCGTTATTTCTTACTATCTGATATTTTGAAAGATAATTCTCGCTGAATTTTCGACGAACAAACGCATTACTTCCCAGAGAGCTTTACTTTACATAGAAATTTGTGCTCTTTTATTTTCATTTTGACGCATTTCAGTGTTGGTTCCTTAAAAGTTGGCCTTCGGTTTTTGGAATTTAAATAAGTTCCCAGCAAAAAGAAATTTGCTTAAAAAAATACATATATGTACATAGTGCTCGAAAATATCTATTTTTCCCTTACCTTAAACCATTAAGCGTGGGCAACAATGATGTTTTGTAATTAAGGCAGAATTGAATATGCGATATCTGGGAACACAAGAACTGTAATATTGATTCTATGTGTTGTATCCAAACACAAACGACTTGAAATTAAGACATTCATAGCAAACATTTTATGAAAAAAAATCCCCGCTACGGCCTTCTTTAGAAAAAATAAATTCGTTTCAAATAAAAATAAGCGAAATCGGCCCAATTTTATATAACCCAGCCTGCCATGAAAATTTTCTCCGCGATATGGCTATTAGCCACTTCTAACAGATTTTGGATCGCTTAGTCAAAAATTGAAGCATATATATTTGAGTTTTAAGAAAACAAGGCAAATAGCAAAATCGGCTAAGGACGGCTATTTTTTTTTTCTTTGCAAAACGGCTAACAAATCGGCTGCCGGCTAAATCGGAATTTCTCCGGCTGTTTGCTATCGCAGCCGGCTAAATCTAGCCGGAAAACAGTTAAAATGGCAACACTTAACAGAAGACTGAATAATCCATTAATGTCCAGCACTCGCGAGGAGAAGTGTCATATTTTTCGTTGAAGCTCAACTACAGGGCCAGCGGTCGACGATCGCCAAAGAGTCTGAAAGTATATTTGGCATACGATTTTCACGAGGATAAGTTCAAGCCTCATACACATATCTGGTTGGTTGGTGTTGTGAATAAGACCGCTCTACCCAGTCTAACCTTATTCATAGCGGACCATCAACATTCTACAGTGGTTTTTATATAGCTCTTAGCTGAATATATTTGTGACCTCGAATCATTCAAAAATTTCATTAAAAGAAATTGAGTTTGTAATCTGCGAGGTGGCATAAAGCTCCTCTAAAAAAATAGTTTCTGTTACAGGTTAGTTTGGTATCTCTCTAATTTTAAGACCCGCCACAATGTTAAAACTTTAACTCAAACGCTCTATAAAAGTTTCTTTAACACCTGAGGATTTTGAATGTTTCGCGTTGTAAAGGTATACAAACAATCGAATTGATACACATGTACATACGTATAGGTACATACATATATATGTACTAGGAATGTTGATCCCGGCCTTTTTATGGCCCCAAAAAATGTCGGGATTCTTAGCAAATAATCCCGGGATTTGTAATTTGCACTGGTGGCAATAATAGAAACTCATTTTCTTGACAAGTATTGGCTATATATATTTTTTTTATTTAACAATTCATATTTTTTTCATAAATGTTTAGCTCATTATACATATACCGCGATAGTAAATACTACACAAAAAATCAATACAATTGCGAAACCATGGGCCAAATATAGTAAAATTGAGTTTCTAGTTTTTCACTCTAACGGGAAATTAAAAAAGGAACTCTGCAGAATTTAAACAGCTCCAATTTTCTTGTGCATAAGGATTGAGAAGTATTGAAAATGTTCTTTCAAAATTGTATCCTTGAAATTTCGCAATATTTGTTTTTGAAAAAATTATATGTTAAGGACTGATATAAACTCGATAACATCCTCGAATTTCGTCCCTCTAACTTTATCAACTTAAAAAAATACCTATTCGTCCTTATGAATCCTAAAAATTTTAAATATTTCTTTAATTTAGTACCCATAATTGTATTCTATATTGCATCGAATTTTTTAAATAATTTTTGGAATTAATCTATCTTTGAAATTAAAATAAATTCTGACGTCAGAGAGAAAAATTAGCAACGCCTCTTTAAATAAAACCGTAGGTTTCAAACAAATTTATTTATTATTTATTTTATGATAGGAGAGCTTCTCAAACAATATAAACGCAATTTTCTCGATTTAAATTGTTGAAAAGTAATGAATATCCATTTTTTCATGGCAGCAATAATTAATAGGTCCACCAAAAACTTACAAAAACCCCTAAAAATGCAATGGGGGGACCAATAAAAAATAGTTTGTATTAAAAAATGGTTAAATAAACAATTGGGTATTATTATTGAATGTCTTCTGAAGAGAACCAAAGTTTTCCGATCGAAAAATAGCGATTTTCAAAAATTCGATACCATTTCTACGAAAAGTTGTTTTATCCGAAATGAAATACATGGAAAACTTTGAGCGCAGTGAGCGACCTCTAAACACATGAGAACATAAAAATTCCGATTTTACTTTTTCACCTGCATTTTTGGTCCACCCTAATGTACATGCATATGTGATCATATATGTAAGTATACAAGTATAATGTGTAAAATATCCGACAAAGAAAAGTACTTGTACAGAACGTTGTCAACATTTGCATTTCAAAACTTTTTGAAATGACATTTCCATGCAACATGTTAATGGCTCTTTCAGTTTGCGCACCTTTTTATGTTTTAATATTATTTTTTGCCGCTCATACATACTCACCTTTATAGCTACCTGTATATGTAAGTATCCTGACAAGATGAGCGAGCATTGTATCCACTAATGTATGCAGTTATTTTTATAGAACTAAGTATACATATGTATGTACCTTCATACATAGATTCATATGTACATTTGACCACACTTTCTATGAGTGTGATGATACCTGAAAAATCATCTTCTACTCAAACAACATTCAAATAATTCCTATATGTTTGTTGTGTATGTACATTAGAGTGGTCCAAAAAAAAATTTCCTAAATAGGGTTCGGCGCATCTTCCAAAATATTTTCTCTTGCCGAAAGCGGTGCTGGTGGCAAACTTTAAGTTTCTAAGTATAAACTTAGAGGATGCTCATGAAATGATTATATTTTACTCTGGAAGTATTTTGTACATATATTAACCAAACAATTGGTTAAGAACCAAAAATCATTTCAAATTTAAATTACGCCAAACAGACGTAACCTTCGTTTTCACCGATGAAATCGATGTCATCGACAATCGCCAGCAACTGTACGCACTTGTAAAGTTAATAAATTACACGAAACGGAGTCACCGTGTCTGAAATCTCGCTTAGTATCAAACGGTTCGGAGAGGTCCTTCTCAATTCTGAATTCTAAAGCTACACTGATAAGGCTCAATCAGCTCGTTTACGGTGGGCGTTAGTCTTTCACACAATATCGAAGGTTGATCAATCTGTAGCTGACGCGAATGGCGGGGTCCCCGGTTATCGGACATGCATTCATTTGCCCATATTGTGCATAAGAGTTGATACATGCACCTTATCAGCTCCTCGCCGCCGTACTTGAAAGACTCGGCTGGCAGGCCATGAACTCCAGTATCTTTGTTGTTTTTCAGCCGCACTATTTGTACCTCGTCATAATCAGGCGATGGGACATCGACTCCATCGTCATAGACTGGGAGCTGGTGTACCCTCCATAATTTAAGTACGTTCGGTCGCCAGGTCGGCATTGTTGTTCTAACAGAAGTTCGCCCTTGTCTTGAAACCTTCCGTAAGTCGCCTAACTCTTTGATAAAATTTTCGGGATTTTTTTTTTTGCCGCCAGCATTTCAAGCTCTTCGCACTCACAACAAATACGTTTCGCTTCCCTTTTCAGGCCCCTATATCGGTACCACATAGCTCTCGTTGCGTCCGATCGCAGCGTGGCCTTGAAGGCCTCGTCTTTCTTATCCTCAGCTTCTGGACGCTCCTCATCATGCCAGCTGTACTTTCGGGCTCGCTGAAGTCCGACTACTTCTGCAGCGGCGGTACTTAATAAACGAGAAATATGGTGTTACTGCTCGCATATGTCGGTTTGATGAAGAGTTCTCTTTGACAGGAGGTGTGAGTGTCGAGTAGCGAATGCATTTGCCGTCGGTTGTGACTGCAGCTTTTCGAAGTTCAGCTTTCCATGCATTTTTGGGCGCACATTTTTCGCTGTACAGAGGCGGGTGCGTATCTTGGCTGCAACAAGATAGTAATCCGAGTCGATGTTTAGTCCTCGGAGTGTACGTACGTCTAAAACGCTGGAATCTTGCCTTCCGTCTATTACAACATAATCGATTTGGTTTCTCGTTTTTCGATCTGGAGACAACCACGCAAGCTTGATGGACCTTTTTATGCTTGAACATACTAATACTACCATGTTTCCGGCGTTGTCGAAGTCGATCAGCCCGAACTTTAAAATTTTTCTTAAAAAAAAATTTAGTTAATTAAAAGAAAATCTTGAATTTTTTTATCTGTGTTTATTCAAAACTAACTTTCCTGCTATTTTCTTGTCTTGTTAATGTACAAATAAACCTTCTTTTGGCGTAGTTATTTATTTGCTTTCATTTGCAATGTTTGGCCTGCGATTCGTTAGGCTTGTCAACTGGCTGCAAAAGCCGCCGTTGATGTAGCTTAAAACAACAATAATAAGCACTAAGCAGAGCCAAGCATTTAGTCAATTGCTTAAAAACGATGCCTCAGTTACTACCCTCCCGCGAGTGTCCATTTGCTATGCCGCGTACTAAGGGTACCAGTGCAGAGGGTAGACACGACTACGTATTCACTGTCTTATTCCAAAGTGGTTGTTGTTATTTGTGTGGCCACAAGAACAGCCGCAATTATTGTATAAATTAACGTCACAAACAAATGTTACAAAAGCCACCAATGAAGTGGAATGATGTGCTGCTACCATGCCAAAAAGTAACCCCACTCCTTAACCATTTTCTCCATCCGCCAAAAAATCAACCGAATCACTGTCCTTAAAGTATCTTCTCTAACACAACTGGACTCTTACACACAATTACGCTTACAAATGCGCCTAATTCGGTGTACAACGCGGTCTGCTCTTCATTCTACTTCCCTAAGAACTATCTATCGTTCTCTGCTCTTTAGTGAGTTACTAACTGCTGTTTATTTGTGGCTTTTAATATTGCGTAAAATTTAATGCATATCACTTCTTCTGCTGCCAGCATCAAAGTAACTAGAATGCCTCTTTCCCTTTCGGAAAACATTCACACTCCATCGCACACAACTCATTCAGCTGTCAGGGTAAATGCGACAAGTGATTTTCAGATTTATGTGACTTTTGCGGTTTTAAGTATTTCAAGTCCTAGGGGCGGTGCTAGGACTAACAGCTTTCGCTTGTGAATATTAACATTTATTTTCGGTTTTTTTTTTTTTTGTGATCCACAAAGTCACTATTTACACTGGCAAAGTCTTAGTTCTCAGACCATTGTCAATTTGAGAATTACAAAAGCAGTTTTGATTTATTACATTGAATGGATGATAAAGTTGTTCGTTACTCAGGAAGTGGAACAATAAAATATATATTATAAATGTATCGCAATAAAGTCATTGAAATGGAAAGGAAATCGCTAGTGCATTTTCAGAGTTTGAATCTTTTCTATTTCAACTTACTAGTCGGAGAAAGGCTCTTCCTTAGAATACATCACAGGCAGAGACATTCTGTAAGCAGAAGAAGATTACGAATGTTTGGCAAAATAATCCTTCAGAGCCTTGCAGAGATCTCATCGATTGACATTCAAGAATACTGACTCCCCCGACATGAGAAATATTAACAAATAGAAAAAATTCAAATATTGCGTTCGAATTAAATGAACTGACAAATTAATCTAGTCTAGAAGAAACAATCCAGTTCTAACGCGTATTCGATTGAGAAACCACCCCCTCCCAGCAATAAGTTCTGCGCTGAATTTGGGACCCGCCATGTCAAAACCACTTCCAGTGAATAATTTTCAATAAAGCCTTGGATGATCTCCCCCCTTTTGATAACGACCATGGCACACCTTTAAAGTAATACGATTTGAGGGCATGCACCTGGAATGTCGGGACCCTTAATGGGGAAGGTGCCCCTGCCCGGCTGGTCGATGCTTCGTAAAGACAAAAGCTGACATCTCCACCATCCAAGAAAAGCGATGGACGGAGCAAGGCAAGACACATGTAGGGCTTTGCGACGTTTACTACAGTTTCCGCAGAAAAGAGCGCAAATTCCGAGGCCCAAACATTGACTCGGACCGCTATCTTTTTGCAGCCGAGATAAGCACTCGCCTCTGTTCAGCAAACAATGTGCGTCCAACGATGCAAGGAAAGCTCAACGTCGAAAAGCTGGGGTCTCAGTAGACAGCCACAGTATTCGCCACTCGACTCTCACACCTGCTCTCAAAGAGCACTCTTCAACAAACAGAAATATGCAAGCAGTAGAGTCACATTACCCACTCATTACATACCGACGTCGATGAAGTAGTCGGATTTCAGCGAGCCCGAAAGAGCAACTGTTACGATGAGGAGTATCAAGAAGCTGCAGAGAAAAAGGATGCCGCCTACAGGGCCACGCTGCGATCGGGCGCAGCGCGTGCTATGTGGGACCGCTATAGGGAACTGAAGAGGGAAGCGAGACGTATTTGCCGCAATAAGAAGAGAGAGGCTGAAATACGTGAGTGTGAAGAGCTTTAAATGTTGGCCGACAAGAAAAGCGGCCGAAAATTTTACCAGAAAGTTAGGTGAATTAAGAAAGGTTTCAATACCAGGGCGAGATCTAGCAAGACCAACAATGGCGACCTAGTGACTGATGTCCAGAACGTACTTAAATTATGGAGAGAACACCTTTCCACCCTACTGAATGGCAGCAAGACGGAAAGTTGTGGAGAAAACGAACCCGAGCCCCTAGTCGATGATAACGGAATCGATGAACAACCTGATTATAAAGAAAGCTTACATAGAATGCATGCCTCATTTTTTTTTTCAAATTCCTTTGAAGTATGCATAAGACTTATATGCCTTCTATCTGCAAAGCAATTAAGTACTCGAAGTTACATCTACTATTTTTCAGAGGCGGGGCGCATTCAGAAGAAATTACCGAAAAATATGGTTGTCTACAGTACCACAACGATAAAAATTTTCGAGCCATTTTACGCTACCGTGCAGAAAGCGTCGATATCTGCTCTTAAAAAGGCCTGATGTCCTTGGCTAACAATGCGACTAACACCAGCAAGACAACCCAAAAGGAAATTACTGAGAAGTGCTATGATTTGATTCTCACGAAATAATCAAAACAAGTAAGAGCAGCGCTGTCTTCGGCTATGCCGAAGGCTTCATACCTTTCATGAACATCTGCAAATTTTAGTTTGACAGATTACTGATTTTGAATACATCTGCATACATCGATAGAGGAGTTACATCTTATATAAAAAACCGCCTCTAAACAATCAGATGTATGTAAGATATATGTTGTAGTCACCCGATCCTTGTT